AGTATGTGCCATCAGCTCACAGCTTTATGCTCTGTGTGCTCATCTTACCTTAAGGTTAATGCTCCTTGACAGCCTACATGGTAAGTAGAATCCTCAAATTAAGTGCCGAACCTACGATTTGCAAATCCTTCCTCGAAATTTAAGGCATGAAAAAATGGATGCAGATAAGAGGATCACATTTCCAGAACTTACGTCTATATTCTCAGGCTCTGATCTGGCAGTAAAGCCCTGTACGGTGCAGGAGTCTCCCTGCACAAAGGCCACTAAAGTCAGCAAGGACACGCACAGAAATTACAGAACCGGCAAGGAAGAACTATTAGGGCAGTCACTTGTTGACTGCTAACTCTACTGATTTAGCTGCTACCAGAGAATTCACTCGTCTCCAGAGGAGCCCAAAACACTTGAGGAGATGCCTGGGAGGAGTCTCAGGGAGCTACCAGGTATGCACCCGGGTCCTACATGAAGACAACTTTACAGGTAACCACCAAGGAGTCGTCTGCGACTGCTACCCAGGAAATTCAGCCATCTCCAGGGAAGGTCAAAGCACTCCCAAGATCCCTGGGAGGAGTAAAGCACGGTAAAGAGCATGGACGTGCCTCCAACATACACAAAACTCCTCAGGTGGCTTCCCTGGAGGAGTCTGTGTGTCTAACATAATGCTGAAACCTCCAAATGCTAACTTAAAGAAGTTCACCAAGTCCAACCATTAACCCAGCACTGCCAAGCCCACCACTAAACCATGTCCCTAAGCACCACGTCTACACGTCTTTTAAATACCTCCAGGGATGGTGACTCCACCACTTCCCTGGGCAGCCTGTTCCAGGGCTTGACAACCCTTTCCATGAAGAAATTCTTCCCAATATCCAATCTAAACCTCCCTCAGCACAACTTGAGGCCATTTCCCCTTGTCCTATCGCTGGTTACTTGGAAGAAGAGACCGACCCCCACCTGGCTACACCCTCCTTTCAGGTGGTTGTAGGGAGCGATCAGGTCTCCCCTCAGCCTCCTCTTCTCCACCCCCAGCTCCCTCAGCTGCTCCCCATCAGACTCGTGCTCTAGAATGAATTTACTACCTTACACCATACGCATATTCACACGCATACTACTCAATACTTACTGAAAGTATTTCTAGGAAACTCAGCAGCATAGAAATTTAGTTTGAGTGCGAAATACCCTGATTAATACGGGGATACAGATCTTGCTCATTCACACTGATAAACTAAGTAGTTGTGTCATACAGCAGTGTATTAAAATTAATTTCCTTCTGCTCCTATGACTAGGGGCATGATTCTCGTAATGATGCATAACAGCATTATGAAGCCGTGTAACATGAAAATAGTTGGATTTGCTGAAGAAAATTTGAACTAGGGAGAGTTGCATCATTCTCAAAGCGACAGAAGAGTGCACAGACACATCTCGTTGTGAGTGTCTGTATGGTGCCAAAACTACAAGTAGAAGCAGGAGAGGATTTAGTCTTGTTTCCTTCATGGCAAAAATATTCTAAAGCAAAAGCAACTGGGGGAAGAATGACAGGGTGTCAGCTGCTCCATAGACAAAATGAATGCAACTGTTGATGTTGACTGCAATCTACACATCACAGCGACACCAGAGACGCAAAGATGGTTATGAAGTCTATAGCCACTGGGGCTTGGAATTGACATTGAAACCAGAGGTATGATGGAAGGACGATGGACGTGGAGGAGCTGAACAGAAGACTGACGAATACAACAGGACAGAAGCGGGTGGCTGTGTGTGTGGATACACACAAGACAATGTTAGAAAGAGAAGCCACAGGTTTGTTCTTCCAGGTAGCAAGCTGCTCAATCTGTCCGAGATGTTCATTTTCCTTTTTCTTGCTCTGCTATTTTAAAAGAAAAATCCAATGGTTTAAAATACCACTAACACCACCTTATTATAGTAAATAATTAAGACAACGTAGGGAAAGCTTTCGTCAATGATTTGAATACTGCTATCTCTGGGGTTTTTTGCTGTACTCAAGAAGCACCATTAGCCTGTAAGTAGACAGCGAAAAACACTGACAAATTTTTCTGAAAGTTTAATGTGTGAACTCCTAAATAACAGCTTTACATCCTAGCCAGATATACAGTATGAGAAGGTTATTCTTTAACTCCTTTGTTAAACCGCCTCATTTTGCTTTGCTGCTGTGGAGCATGTAATAACTCACAGTTTATATGCTATCTTTGACCTAGAAACACTGGCAGCTGTTAGGGGAATCGCTGGGTTTTTGGAAAGTATCAAAAGGTTTTTAGCACATAAACCAAATTTATGAACAGATATTGCCCTGGAGAATAGAATTGTTTATGTTTTAGTATCACAGCTGTCACTAATGCACAGTTATTTTGTCCTGTATTAATCCCCTGAAAAGGTTGAGCATCTTCACTCAGTCACTGAAATATTTTATAATTGACAGACTTCATCTGGCACTGAATATGTATAATAATTTTCTCCATAAGGAGCACACTGTGCTGACACTAATCTGTTCTGTTGTTGTGTCCCTTTATTTTCAATGTCTGCATTGTTTTTTCAGCAGTATCGAAGAACACAAATACAAAGCTTCTAATTGAAAACGCTAAGTAATCAAAAAGCCAATTAATCATACAGATGAGCTCTGACAGTCAATGATGCAACACACAGAAATATCACATACGCATAACTGAAGTCCTTTTAAAGTGTGGTTATTTGATGTAAGAATGATCTGAGAATGTAATTAGCATTTTTTGTCACAGGTGACAGACTCATATTGCACGTTTCTTCATACTGACGTTACTCCTCTGAGCTTGACTTACTCCACTCCTACCCCACATCCCGTTCTGATCTTTTCTCTGCTGCACAGCCCATACTCTGACTTTGTGTACCTGTCACTGAAATCAGGACAAGTTTAGGAACAAATAAGCAGCCTATTATTGTGCTCTGTAATTTCCAGAACGTTAGGCCTTTCCAGACCTTCCTTTCTGCTTAAAGCTCTATTTCCATCCCAATGTTCAAAAATCACCAACACAGAATCTCACAAATGACCTTAATAACAGCTGCAGGCACCAGCCTCAGTGAAGCTGGGATGGCAGCAGACATGACCTCTCTGCTTTTGTAGGTTTTCATTCTGTAATCTCCACATCTCTGAAAAAGTTCAAAGTCAGCTTTGGAGGACAGAGTTCACCTCCTTTCAGAGCTCGAACAACTCTTTTTTGTGTAGCAGAGATATGCACATCTACTTTGAAAACAAACCGAATGACAACTTGGCAAAGCAAAGGTTTCTTCGCTTACAAATAAAAAGTCAGAATGAAAAGATAAGCCTTAATATCACGAGAGCTCCACTCTGAAGACAGAGCAAACATCATCCATGGTGTAAGACAGTCAATTCAGAACTGCCTGCTGTAGTCCTGGAGACTTCCAAGTCCAAGAAGAGAAAGCAAGAGATGGCAGAGTTCACCTATTTCAGATCACTTGGGGGACGACACGTCAGTAGTACTCAAATAGTTATTTAAAGTTCATTAGCTCACTTGCACAAAGCAATGATAAATTCACATGCATGTTAAAATGCGATTCCACGCTGGAAGTCTTCACTTCACAGGAGCAAGCCAAGGCACTGTATCAGTGACCTACTTTAACATTAAAAATAACTAAGAATAAAATCTTATTTGCTGCATAGCACTTTAAAAAGGCAAAAGAAAAGCTTTCGAACAAAGAATCATAGTTTATCACACGTCCTTCACCATGAGTTATTCCAGTACTACTCTGCACTGTAATGGTAAAATGGGAGGCTGATAACTAAGAGCAAAAAAACCACCCCATAAGAAGCCAGTTTGGATGAGACACTGCAGATGCTTTTTCCTCTAACACCAGCAAGTTACTTGAGAATGAGGAAGGTATTCTGTGGAGGTTTTTTTGTGAAGCATATTAATTTTTTACTGTTTAAATAATGCACTGTTTTAGTATCATTAAACTAATTTACCCTCATCCTTTCAAACTATTTTTCATTGCCAAGAACATGAATTTCGTTAATGTCATCTTCAAAAAGGTAGGACAAAACACCAAGACAGTATCTGATATGCTCTCTATTTAAAATATTCATTAAGACCAATTTTACACACTGATAATTCATGCAACATGTTCTTCTTCCTAATCAATAAAAACAAGAGGTTTTCTTCTATCCTGCTAAGCTGCATAAATGAATATATATCTCTTTAATATCATTTTCAAAACTAACTGAAAAGGATCCAAATTAATCAACAATAGGCTCAGGAAGAAGGCAGAGGGGTAAAGGAGACAAATGTATTCAGGCTGAAGGTTACAACCAACCTGGGATGTAGAAAATGATGACAGCAGTAACTATTTAAAATTAACATCCTGTAAAATAATACCCTACAAAGAAGAAGAATGTTAACAGCAATATGTTAAAACATTGTAAGCATGTCACAGAGCTTCCCAAACTGTTCTGTATAGTTTAGTTTCAAGTCTACTGTGAAAAAAAGGCACAGAAGTGCTTTTTCAACATGGGATAAACAACTTGCAATTAACATTAACCTGTCCACGTACTGGTGGCTTTCGGAGGAACCACTAACTCCACCCAACAAAAGCAACCGTGGACTGCAACGAAAGCAGAAATTCAGAATGGATCTTCACACTTCACATGCAATTTTAAGGCTACTCGGTGATACTCATTCACGTACACCGGCTCTTCGTCACTGCTGATATAAAAGGAACCCCGTTCAGATTATTTCCCTGTATGTGATTACTGTGACAGATGAAATCTCATCGCAAATGTGAGAACTCAGTTAGTAAAGAAAACAATATTTTCAACATTAAAGCCTCCATTTTGTCAATATTCAGCCAGAAACAGTAGCAGTTAATACCAAAAAAACCCTCAGGCCACAGTTTTAATCTCCTTAGAAAAGTCATCTTGTTTAACAGTAAGACATAACCAGAAAGTCACTAGCAGAAACGAACAGAAAACTCTTCATTAAAAGGGAAAGAAGGCTTACCCTTTCTTCCAATCGAGCCAGCTGCTCTTTGTAGTAGGCATCATGCTTCTTCAGTTCTCTGTCTTTCTCTTCCAGCTGCTTGGCCTAAAAAAAGAAACAGAAAGATAAAACTGGATCAAGAAAGAGCCTCACTTGCAAAGCAAAACATCTACTATAAATTGTACCCCTAAGGAATATACAGCAATTGAGAACTGCAGTCTATTAGTTTTGCCAAACAGTACATTAATAAGATGATGATTGCTGCATTGAAAATGTAAAGAGATTGTCTATTGTACTGGGTTTTTTCCTTCCCTCCTCAACAGCTGTGCCATAGTTTGTCCAAACGTATTTGGAAATGTCACGAAGACGGAACCAAGCATGCCATGGTGTGATGAATTTTTTTTTTTTTTTAATTAACTTTGCAGATCACTTCTGGACTTAGGGAAACTTGCTCAAGCTACTGAAAAAAATATACGCGGAGCCTGAATATTCAGCCTTATCTGTTAACTGTTACTAAGTGGACATTTTGACACGAGAAAAGCTGAACTTGCATCCATATATTCGTAGGCAGTGGTAAAAAGAATTTTTTTGAAGTAGCTGGTTTTTCCTTAAAACCCCAATTCAGGAATGCATTTAGCATGCATTTAATTCTAAACACATGAACGTTTGGAAAGAACCAAATACTTACATATTTGCAAAAGCAGATCTAAAAAGTACATCTAAAACTCTGCTGTCCTCTTTAATTAGTAATCTTTCCTCTAGAAACTCTTAGATGGGCTGAGGTATCCAATACTTCAGCTGAAACCCTTTACTGTAGGATCACTCCCATGTCCAGTAACTTAAAATAATACAGAATAATTTTGAACATCTGTCTTTTGAACACTAATATGACTTGAGTATTCATTTAAGAAACACTGCTTCCAGCACTACTGAGCAAGTTGACATTTTTTTGGCTTTTCATCTGTAGTATATACCAATATCTAGTATTAAGGGGACTCATTAAGAATTATAAAATACATTAAAAGAGCACACATGCACACAGAATACATACAAAGCTATAAGTCCTCCAGAGGAAATACAAGACAAGTGATTTTTAACAAGCTATGGAGGATTTAATGCCTAAATTATCAGCGCAAATTCATTCCAGGTTCATAATGTTTTAATAATAAAATATCTTTAGTGACTAATAATTAACTATCAGTGGTCATTACCACAATTGCCTATTCAACATTAGTTATTTACCTCTAACATATTATTTTCACCCAGGCACTGATACTACAAAGTCAACTGCAAAAAGTTCCTATTTTAGCAGCATCACATAAAATGGTAAACTGTTGTACTCTTACCACTAAAGATGGTATCTCCAAGTCATGCTCACGGAAGCATGGCAGAAAACTTACACCCCATATTGTGTTATCCTTGTGTAGATACAGGACTTAATTCTCTTTGTCAAGATTAGCTTTTTTTTTTTTTTTTTTTGGGGGGGAGGGGGGTGCAGAAATAGCCAAAACAGAAAATAAATACTTAAAATTTTTGGTTGTTCCTTATAACTACTTACCTTTTTTTCTATATCCTGAAGCATGTAAATAAATCAAAAAGTCAAATTAAATTTATCATATAATGGCAAATAGAAAGAATGCAGGAATATCCGTGCACGTCAGGCATATCTGTAACCTAGAACAATGGAGAAAACTACTTGGAAGTTGGTTTCTTTCTTAATGCAACTTCACCAAAAATACCCCTGCCCATTCAAAAAGCACGCAGCCGAATTTTAATTCTACTTGGATGAACCAAACCTTGCCCTCTGCCAACCACCCCAGCTTCAGTACAGTGCCATGGAGCACATGCTATAGCCCCCTCCACCACCATTTAAATCAGCCTTTATTTACTAATTACAGGTTTTTCCAAAGCTGATTACACTAAATATCCTGCAGCCTAACTACCATGCTTTGTATTGATCATGGTTTTGCTTTTCCTAGATAATCCCTTTATGACCTCCCAAACCTGGTGGTTATAGAAACAGCTGAAAATTCATTGCAGGTTGTGCCTCCCCAAAACCATCCTCTCCCAAATACCTAATACAGTACTTCAGTGAATTACTGTAGTCACCCATACATGAATATTTTATGTCTAATCACCTCGCGATCCCTGAAATATCTGCAAACTCAAGAACATTCCGTTTGTGCGAGGGGATTTAAATCGGCCAGTGACAAAGAAAATGTAAAATTAATGTTCCGTGATGCTCATGAGAACTCACTTAAGTTTTAGTTCTTACAATTCAATAGCGTTTCACACAATTGTATCGATGACCTGAAACCAAGCAGCAAAACCAGCTTTGGAAAGCCAATAAGATAGAATAAAACCCATGCAAGAGCATCATGACTTAATTCACTCGCCCCATTAGTGACGGTTCACAAGGGCAGAAATTTTCAGGGTGTGAAAACACAACAGGCCAAGGGCACGCTAATGATGGAGAAGATGAAACCCATCCTCTCCTCTGGGTCCAGCTGAGTTTAAATTCATCTCTGTCTTGCTTGCTGAACAAATACCATTCAAAAAAGAGAAATGGATTTGTTTAACAGTATCTGATCACTAAATTTATATATGTGAAAGACAATACAAGCAGGGGAACGCAAATAACACTTGTTCCAAGGGTATCCAGCTGAATGTAAGTTTTTGCCCTGGAAAGTTTGTTAGTTTTTCGGGTTGATTTTTGGGTTTGGTTCCCTGCCCCCCCAAGATACTCAGTGACCAAAACAGCTGGATTTTACTGCATTAAAAATATGATGGCCAAGAAGCAAATTACACTCATGTTGCTTATTGCCCTGATCCTATCAAAGTTTTTATATCACTGATAAAGTAGAAATATTAGATTACAAGAATACTAAATAATACATTTATCCAAAGGTTTGGTTCCCTATGTTCTGAAAGTAACTGGAAGATTTGGTAGGTCAGTAAGAAACTCAGGAAAAAAAAGTTTCTTCCATATAGCTACCACCCCTGGCATTTGTACAGTAACGCAGACACAGCAAAGTTTAAAAAAAGATAAAAAAATGAAAAAATTATTCATTTATAGAGGAGACAATATAAATATGCCAACAGAACAGAATTCACCGCAGAAATAAAAACCTGTAAGGTAATACTATATTTATGGGGCAGCAGGAACATGATCCCAGTGAATATCAATTAGCCGTAACAAAATAATTAGCAGTAGCCATGTATTCAATTAGCTGAATGCTGCACTTTAGTTGTAAATGAGATATTGGAACAGGTTCATTGCTTCTTCACAAAGTAAGTCTAATAAACAAAGCGTTTGCTTGGGTGTTATTTAGAAAACAGCTTCAGAAGGTCACCTTTGAGAGGCAGCCCATCTTCCCAAGACTACCCGAAATTAAAATCCAAAAATAGATCGCTAATATTAAATACAGGTACTTCAGAATCACTAGGAAGTTGGACCAAGATTTACAGGCCAACTTGGGTTTCATTTTCAAACGCAGTGCCTGGATTTAGCACAGCACTGGTATGAGTTTCCATCACCTGGGAAACAGATGTCTACAAAAAAAATTCCTGTGCATCGCCTCGTACGTGGCTGCAGGGACACTTGCGGAGCAGTCCCCTGATGAAACCCAACCCTTCTCACGCTGGACACAACAGATACCATTAATTTTGTCCTTTCTAAGGTCGAAGAGAGCAAATAGCCAACTGAAAACGTATGTTCAATCATTAGTTTTAAAAAATAAATAAAGGAATCCTGATAGTTGGATACAGTAAGGTTCGAGGTGTGTGCAGACTATAATTGCTATCTAAAGAGGGGATAAACCATTGTCAGGTACTTTAGGAGAAGTCCGTGAGGCAGATTTCAAAATTAGCTCTTGAAGCACTCAGCAGTCCCAGGTTTACAGCTGCCCCTCGGTGCAGACTCTGAGCTCCAAATTCATTAATAACCACCGAGTTTACAGCAGAACACTGCTGAGATGGCTTCAGTTTGCGCTTTTTCTGGCAGAGAAGAATCATCTGCTTCAAAATAAGAGTCCAGTTTTATACGAAATTTATAAATCACTGTCAGCCATCCGAAAGTGCTCTGCCTAGGTCTTGCCAAGTTCCTTCGTGGTCATTTCCTCATCACCCCACCAAGAACATCAAGAGGACTGGGTAAGGGGACAACCAAGGGACTGAGTCTCCCAAGCCACGTTCAAGGCTGCCCGGTCTCACTCGCATCGGGTCTAGGGGCTTAAAGAGCACCCTGTCACACCGGGTTTACAAGACTAAGGGGATTCGCCAAATGAAATGCTAACTACAGCAACGAGGGCTTTTCTCATGGGAAAGGTCACATGAAATATCTACAGGCCTTCAGGCGGGCCCATGTACTTTGAAGAAAAGGTTAATGGATTAATAGGCAAAAGAAAGCGGCAGCAGAAGGTTGGCCTTCAGCAGCTCCAGAAGCACGACCACCGCGCAGAAGAACTGCTGGCAGGTCAGGATGAATGGGATGCACCGGTACTACAAGAGAGTAGATCTCAAAAAACGATCTTTCACCATGATGTTGCTGGAGATTTTCCGTTTGTTTTGGAGCTTGCGGTTTGCTGGATGAGCATATCTGTGGTTAAAGCAGGGTGTGAATTCATGAGCTCGTTGACACTAACATCACTCCGGTAGAGACTATGACTGCCACATTGTAAAACAGTTATTCAGCATTTGATGTCCGCTAAATTGTTCTGCCCAGAAACGCTTTTGCAATGGACCACATTGACCCATACAGCCCCGTGCATTCACAACTGCATGTTGATAAAATCAGATTTAAAAGGTTCATTACTTGTACACATTATAATGGTCACCAAAACTACAATCTTCATTCGCTGCATAGAGTACCCCAATAAAAATGATTTTCTGTTTCCACAGTTAAGATATGTTAGACTGCAACAGTTTTAAATTTTAACCTTCTATTTCAACACACAAATACACACATCATCCTGAATGGGCAACAGGAGTAACTTATGGATATTCTTAGGAACATATGCCTCTCCCTTCCCTCCCCCAATAACTTATTTTTGAAGCTATCACTATTGAAAAAAATCATTCCTAACCACAAAAAATGACCCAGACAC